GCCAAACCACTCTCCACTTTGCTCCATAGATTCCAGCTTTGCTTACCAATGCTAGCTCCACACATCTCAGAAAGAGTCTATCCCTCAGTCTTTGTATTGACAGCCTCTTCCCTATTCCTCACAGCTCTGGCATTTGTTCAATAAGACCAGTATCAGCCTCCTGTATTCTGACTGCAGACTGGCATTGCTCAGGTAAGTCCTAAGAAAAAGAAACCAGAGATGCTCAGTGTGTCCCAGATCCAAAGGGTTCTTGGCTTCCTTCCTTTTCTCTGGTATGTTCACTACCCCTATGGAAATCCTGAAGGGCCAGATTCAGTACCCAAGGTGTCCCCTAGTCATATAACTTCCACTTCAGTCACCCCCCACAGCCTGCAGACCATCAGCTGGTTGTTGAACTTTTCCTGCTCATCCATTCTGAATTCCCACCTTCATCCCCTCATTGTGAAATAAAAGGGAATCTCCTTGAAGCTTTAAACTCTGTCCCTAGAATGTCTTTTATAGTGTTGATCTAGTATTATTTATTATACTGTGAAAAGTACTCTGACCAAGAAACTTAGGGAGAAAAATGGAATACTTTAGCTTTACATCTCAAGTGACCGTTTATAATGATTTTCAGGGAAGTCAGAGCAGCTAATGATTGAGACATCACATCACACCCACAGACAAAAATCGACAAACATAAAAGTAGGAATGTCCTCTCACTTGTACTCAGATTGACTTCTCTACTCCTATATACTCCAGAATCCCTGGAGTAGGATCTGGAACTAACCACATAGGATAGGGAATCCCATATTAATTAGCTTCATGAAGATCATTCCCCACAGGCATGTCCACAGGTTGGCACAATGTAGATAATTCCTCAATGAAACTCTGTTTACAGGTGATACAAGTTGACAGTTAAAGCTGAGAAGCACAGATATTACTGTCTCTGGTCTTGCTTTAATTCCCAAATCCACCTCTGTCTTTAAGATGGACACTTTATTCCTCACACCATGAGAACATAGATTAGTTTCTTGCATTCAATAAAAATTCTTACACCAAGCCTACTGATGTTCACAGACTACTGGAAGTCAGTACACTCAGAGAATATAAGCCTTAGGTGTTACCTCTACACCAGTCACCACATCTCCTTTGGCTCCTTCCTCTCTTGCCCTGCACCTTAAGATGCTTCCTAGACAATCTCTTTATCATCATTCTTCTCATCTGTTCTTCTCAGGCCTGAAAAAGATGGAGCAGCCACAGGAGTAGATGCCATCTGCACTCATCATGCAGACCCAACTGGACCTGGGCTGGACAATGAACGGGTATTCTGGGAACTGAGCAATCTGACCAACAAGGTTACTCAGCTGGGTCCTTACACCTTAGACAAGAACAGCCTTTACATCAATGGTGAGCAGTGGCCATGTGTGCTCTTGTGCAGAGCATACACTCTCCCGTCAGCCTCCACTGCCTCACTCTACTCCATTCTCACTCTTTTATTTTCTCTTTAGGTTATACACACCAGATCCAGTACACCACATCTCCAAGTGAGTATTCAGAGGCTCATCAAGTCTCTCCTATGCTGTAAGTCCAAGCCCCATGAAATATAAAGAAACAAAAGCCCCCATCTGTATTTCTTTCCTTAAGCCTCTCTCCTCCTAGAGATGAACAAAAATGTTTGCCCTAAAAAGCTTCCAGTCTTGCTGGAGGCACAGCTCAGGAAAATGCTAACAGTAGGTATGGAGTTTGATCCCTAGCAGCTGTGTAAAAAGCTGGGCATCATGGTCTACATTTATAATGCTAGCTCTAGAAGGAGTAGGCAAGG